ATTTATATTAATTAAAATATAATATAAATAAATAAATAAAAACAAAAAATAAAATAAATAATATATATTAATTAAAATTTTCTTTAAATAATAATAAAATAAAAATTAATAATAAAAAAAAAACACAAAAAATCATAAAAAACAAATGATTAAAAGCTAGTTAGGGGTGGCATTAGCAAATGATAAGGGTGCCATTAATCACCTCCTTTATTTTTTACATCCTTAATACATTAATCAGTCTAATCGTAAGATTAAAAGAGGTGTAAACAATAATTCTATTTTAAATTAAAAAATATATAAATAAAAATAAATGATAGATGGATTGATGTTGCCATTGATGATTGATGTTGTCTCTAATCAAAATTGGCAACTACCGACACATAGTACATGTTTAACTTACATGTTGCTCTTAAAATATTTATGGTTTACATTTGAAATTTTCTCATGTTTATGTACATTGTGGCCGATTCAAATAAGAAGTCTAAATATCGTAAAATGGTAAGAATGAAATGTTCACATATGAACCCATTGAGAAAAAGCCGAAAAATATTTTTAAAGATGTATATGTAAACATACATTAAAATTTATTCATAAGGGTTCACATGTATTTTCAAATGGTTTTTTCAATGATTCACATATAAATCTTCCTCTAAACTTCCCTTCTTACCTTCCCAAGACATTTATTCTTCTTATTTTAATCTTTCAATATATATATATATATATATATAGAGAGAGAGAGAGAGAGAGAGAGAGGAGGTTTAAACGAAAATACCTTCATTTTCCCAAAACACAAAAACATCCTTATCACATGCAGGAAATAACATTATCAAAGTCTTCATCTTCTTGCTGCATTTATTTTTCGACTGACACTTATTTTCAAATCATTCACCCACTATATTTATTGTTGGCATGCTTTAGTTTCGTGTTTGGAATTTTATGTCTTGTGTTGCTCCCCTTCGGTTTTGCATCCATTAATACAACTTATCTTCCCTCTAATGAAGGTTTAGTAGATATTAAAACTAGCTTATAATTTACGGTTTACAAACAATATTTTCTTTTTTCAATAAATTTAAAAAATAAACTATTTATGGCTATGAAACATAGTTTAAATATTTAAAAACCGAAAAGGAAGAGGAACATAAACAAATCATGATTTAGAACTCCAGACCATGATTCAAAATGAATATATTATTAAGATGTGTTTTGATCTACGCAATGGCATAACTAGTAGGGTGCTAGGGATGTTTATTTACCTTTTAATAGTTCATTTAAAAGACAGCATCTGAATTGTTAAGAGTTGAATCTTGTTTCACGTATGCCTCTTAATGATTCTAATATCTTCTGAATGATTTTGTATCTTGCGTCTCCCTGAACCATTCATCGCCCTAATTTCATTCTAAACAATCATATTTCATTTTACTGTATATCATAAGAGCATTTTAATCATTCTGACCACTTAATAATACTGCATCAAACCATTCAACAATGTCAAACAGCCCCTTAGTAACTTATATTTGAATATAATACAAGAACATTTATTAGTTAAGATGATTTTCTATGGTTTAAAAGCATTTAAGGTAAAATCTCACTCTCTAAACCTCTAGCGGCCTTTCTTGTTTTTTCATAGTTATTTTTTTAGTGTTAAAAATTTATACAACTTATAAATATGTATGTTTTAATATTTACCATTTACATCATCAATAATATTTTTATATTGTTTTCAATTTATAAATTTTAATTAAAACATTATTGCATCAAGATAAACTAAATTAATGTTGATATTATTGTTCAAAGTCCAAAAATATATAAATCAAACTTTTATAATATATCTTTTATATAAATTATAATTTCATAATATTATATTTGGGACCACATTTTTTGTCCCTCAAGTAATGAAAATGATAATGAATAATTATGTAAAATTCTATAAATTTATTTATAAAGTCAATACTATAATTTTTAATGGGTAAAATAGATAATTTGAACAAATTCAGACATTTATCAGTTACAAAAACAAATAGTTTTATTGATTCAGATTTCAGACTTCAGCACCGCCTCTTGTAAATCAGAAGTGAAATAAAACTTCATATTTCAGCACCTCGTAGAAAACAAACGTCACCTCAATGATAACAAAATATGTCCATTTCTAAAAAAAGTAAACATGATAGATAATATACTGAAACTGTTCAAGATAATATATTGAAGAGCGAAGACTTGACTTCGAGAGCGACGAAGAACTTTAGAGATGTCCCATCGAAGATGCAACGACCATTTCAAAGGGGTTCAATTTTGTTYCAAGAAGATTTTCTGAGTGAACAAAGATATGACATATGAACGTTTCATGTCTGTAAATCGTATTCATGTCCGACCCCACCTTAAAAAGAAAACATGTGGGTTTCTTCAAAAAGATGAATGCTTTTAAAATAATATAAAGGGACCAACTTATTTTCCTCAACCTTTATATTCTTCCTTTTGTTATTTATCTCATATTCCACACATACAAAACAAAGTTCACGAACACCAAAAATCAACTCGTAAATTCGAACGAGTAAGGAAACTCAAGGTTATGTTAGACAAATTAGTAGATACACAAATCATTAATTTAAAAGTAATTGATAGCTGAAAAACTAATTAGTGACAAGTAAATTAATTGTTAATTGATAAATTACTCAAATTTGATAATAATAAAAAAATAATTGATAAATTAGATGACATCATAAAATGATTTATAAGTACATATTAAAAAATTACTTAATTGAAAAAAATGGGCATATTTGAAGAAAAAAACAGGAAAAAAAAAACCTTTGGAGCTTATTAAAACTAGCTTATATTTTACACTTTACAAACACGGTTTTTTTTTCAATAAATTTAAAAAATAAACTATTTATGGCTATGAAACATAGTTTAAGTATTTAAAAACCGAAAAGTACTACTAGGTATTGTCTTACTTGATGAAGTCATGACCATTCACAATACTCTGTGTAATGCAAAGTAATTATGATGGAGTTAGAATTTTGTGTTAAAGTCTCTAATTAATGGTGCATTTTTGTGTTAAAGTCTCTAATTAATGGTGCATTCAAAATGATAGAATAAAAGGAGACAATGTCAATATCATATTGTTTTGCATCAAGAGAATTAATGAAAGAGATAAACGACATATTTATCATTTGTTACAGTCGGTTACAGTAACCAATATCGTCCATCAAGATAGTCGGAGGACCTGTATGTCAATAAGTCATAAATGAAAGACTTAAATAAAACATAAGTCACTAAAATGAGACCAACATAATTATTAATATAAATAGTCTAGGCCACTTGGAACAAATTTATAACAGAAGTCACATTAGTTATGGCGGGATTCAAGTTCTCCATCTTTGTTTTGTTTTTATCGATGAGTCTTCGTGAATTTGGATCTTCCGCTCAACCTCTACCTGATGACGAAGGTATATTGCTTAACCGCTCTCTGTTCTTGTCAGTTGATCGATTTCTTCCTGTTGCTTAATTTTGTTTTGTTCACTAGATTTTTCATTTGATTCTGAAATTTTCATCAGGAGAAAATTGGTTTCGCCAAATAGGTTTATTTGGTTGGTTGATGATAAGGGTTATCCGCATTATCTTTTAGTTTTTTCAACTCACGAACATTATATCACTCTAGAAAGCTACGAAATAAAACAGTACGAAAATGACTGTAAATTAGTACTTGCAAACGTTTGATTTTTTCTTCTAACATCTTTGAAAATATTTGGCTCTATACGGCATCCACTATATTGAGTGTTGTAAATATCGATCACACCACACTTGAATCAATCCAAAACCAAGAACTCAATCGAAATTTACCCAAGACCCAAAAATAAACTCAAAACGTAGTTCGTATGCAGAAACGATAAACCAGAAACTCTCAACCGAACAATGAACAACCACAAATAATGAACGTGACTAGGAAGAAAAATAAGACATAGAAAACGACACCGGATATATATGGAAAACCCAAAACAGGAAAAATCACTTCACCGAGAAGTCCACGATGTTATTATGCTTATGAAACAGAGCGATCGAAGAAGATCGAAATTACAGACCATTGAGGAGTGTTTCCAGGAAATTCACACAAACAGAAGCTAACGTGGCTTAGCATGCGAGTTTACCTCGCCTTACATTCTTTTTTCCGAAGCCTTCAATTCTGACTTTTGTTGAAACATCTCCTTTGCTTGATATTTAGATTACAACACATATTCCACTATCATGCAAAATCCTTTTGAAACCATTTTCATGCATAATTTATATGGAGATCTTCATGCAATCATCCAATGATATCCTTTTTGGAAGCATAATATATATATATATATATAGGTATATATATATGTATATATATAGGTATATATATAGGTATATATATATATATGTATATATATAGGTATATATATATATATATGTATATGTGTGTATATATATGTGTGTATATATATAGAGAGAGAGAGAGGGGGTGAGTTATTATGCAATCCTTTACATTTGTACAACCAATATAATTCAATCTTAACCGTCCATTTAATTTGATGAATATAGGATTTTATAAAAGTTTTGATTGTTTTATAATATAAAGTATTGATCATACTTAATAAGTTATAGTCATCTTCCATAAATATTCAAAGCATAATAAATGAACTCTCACCATTTCCATAAATATCTCAATTGATTAGGTTGCATTAGTTGTACAAATGTGATGAGTTGCATTTGGATCCTCTCTCTCTCTCTCTCTCTCTCTCTCTCTCTATATATATATATATATATATGTAGGGAATGGTTCAAACGAGAACACTTTCATTTTACGAGAACATCCTTTTACAATAGACAATCATATGTGATATTATTATTTCATCACATATGATACACATGTGATACTATATCAGAGACGCGGGCGGTTCTCGACGCGATCTTGGTTGCGGGCTAAGTCGCCCTTATACCACTAAGCCCCATCACAAATATTATCACTTGTGATTAGAGTGTTGTTGATATGATACTGTAATTCATCAAGACCATCATATGTGTGTAACACCCCCAGAACCCCGTAGCAAGATATTGTCCGTTTTGACTAGCCCGCACATAACCGGTCACGGTAGCCGCACGGATTTCTCCTGGCATGGGCATGAACCGCAGTTCGTATCCCTCCCAAAACGCGTCATGCAAGAGAAGGTATCCACACCCTTATAAGAAGTGCTTCGTTCTCCTTCCCAACCGATGTGGGACGAGTGACACACCCGCA